GCTCTGACCTCAGCTGCACACTTGCCAACTTCCGTGTATTTGCTCTTCACTTCTATTATATTTTCTCCTGATCACGTTTGATATTTGGAAAATCATCAGAAAGATTCTGTTCTTTTCCAGTGACATTTTTGATCCGTCTTGCTTTACTCCGCACAGCGTTACTTCAGGCCAGTAGGAGGCTGGCCTGCCTCGGTTACTGAACAGTCTCATTCCACTTGTAGTAACACGTAGGAAGTGGCGCGTGACTCAGCTACTACTCTGCTTTCTGGAAATAATGAGTGTTCAGAGCACCCGTGATCAGATATAAATGGAAAGTGTCTTTCTCCCGGCCTACGCGTTCCGCACATGTTCCCTGCTGCTCGGGTCCTTCGGCAGTCTCCATCTGGCTCCTGAAATTTTTACAATTTTTAAATTGGTGAAGAATTGTATAGTCAAAAATATGCTAATAGTCCAGTGGGTGGTGGGGGCTGTAGCTCGGTGTCTGAGCGCTTGCCCAGCATGTGCCAGGCCCTGAGTTTGATCCCTGGCACCTCAAAAAGAAGAAAAATTCAAAGACCCATATTGCAAATGAAAACTTTCTATGCTTATGCCAATAGTATCCTTTAAATTTTGTTATTTAGCATTTAAAATCCATACTGCCTATTGGCCAGATGCATCTTTTTTTGTTGTTGTTATTTGTTTGTTTGTACCGGAGATTGAACTCGGAGTGCTTAATCATGGAGCCACAACCCCAGCCTTTCTATTTTTTGAGACAGGGTCTCACTAAGTTGCTGAGGCTAGCCTTGACTTTGCAATCCTCCTGTCTCGGCCTCCCCATCACTGAGTTTATAGGTGTGTGCTACAACACTCCACCGAATATATATTTTTATATAGTATTATTTAAAGTGTTGAACATATTTGTTCATGGTTTCCAATAAGAGTATATCCCTATTGTTTGTATGAATTTTTTGAAAACTTGATGGTAGGTATTGTATTTTGAGTTCATGATTTTGAAGTACATATATATTAAATCTAAATTCTTTGAGCCGGGAGTACAGATCAGAGGTAGAGAGACCCTGGGTTCCATCCCCAGCACACGGAATTTTTTTTTTTTAGTTAAAAAAAAAATTTATAGATTCCTTTAATATTGTCAGTTAAGAACACAGTACGTGCAGACTGAATCGCAGGACTATAATCACTGTGAGTTTCTCCCCACCTGGAAGGGAGGTGTGGAGGGCTGGGGCGGGGCATGGCGGCCTCCTGTCAGGGCTCGCGCACTTAGTTCTGCTCTATTTGAATCTGGGTTGTGCTTTCTCCACTCCACCCTCCAGTGTTTTCAGGGTTTGGTTTCTTTCTTTTTTTTCCTTCTCACGTGTGATTTATGAAGAAGTAGGTTCACAGGACTCAGAGCAAAGGCCTGGGGGGGGCGGGGCATGACTTTTCAAACACGAAGCAACACTCACTGAATCCAAGACTAGATCTGCAGATCAAACATAAACACAGTTTTTCATCTTGTTTTCAAAATACACTTGAGCAGCTTGCACAATCCCAGCCAAGGTGTGTGTCATCCCTTTCATGACCGAGGACTCAGTGGCTGCCACTGTGGGGCCAGGGACGGGAGTAACAAGGCCCGGGTTCCCTGCCTGCCCGCCGTGAATGGACAGGTTCACTAGCCTGAGCCTCAGTGTGAGGAGCAGGGCGGGGTGGCCCGCAGGGCCAGAGCACCAGGGTCACCCAGCGCCTGTCCTCAGGAGTGTCCTGGCCGCACATCGCGCACTCCTCAAGTCCTCAGTACACTGGGTTGTGGAAACAAAGTCACAGAGAACAAAGACTGTGGCTGCCGAACTTCAGCCTGGGTGGCTCTCATGATTTAAGCCAAATTATTTTTAGGCATTTTTTTTTCTCAGTGACTCTAACTTGCCAAAGATAGAGTACTTAATCTTCAGATAATTGAAGTGAATTTTGTTTGTGTTTCATCTTTAACAAGGACTTAGTTGTTCAGGGGGTTAAAATAGATGTAAAAGAAACTCAGAGTATTTTAATACCTAAGATGACTAAATGATGATCAAACGGCACATGAATGTCCTCATGTTCTCGGCCACAGAAGGCTCCTTTTGCAAAGAATCCCCTCTGTTTTTTCATAGTTTTGGGAGGGAAAGCATGAAAGACGCAGGAGGGAAAGCTGGTGAACTGGGCGGTGGCACCCTGAGGGCTGGGGATGGCTGAGCTCTGGCTCGAGTCTGTCTGGCAGGTTGTCCTGTTTGACTTCCTAGAATCACAGAGCTGAGGGAAGGGGCTATTTTGTGACTTCACAGTGTGTGACCTCCCTGGTTATGTACCAGTAGGCAATGCTCTGTCCTACCACCTGCAGAGGTTAGGGACATTGCTCATGGAGGATTCAGTTGTTGCTCAGAGCTGGTTTGTCTGGGACACCAGGAGAACCGGGGAGCGACCTGTTGCACCTGTATTTTGGAAAGATCCCTGGCCCCTGTGAAGAAGGTGATCCCTAAGAGAACACGGGGTCAAGGAGGGGGTGTCCACAGAGATAAGGCCTGAGCCGGGCTTGGGTACAGGGGAGGCAGGAAAGGACCTTAAAGAGTCAGCTGGCAGCACCCTGTGGGGACGGGGAGATTCCTCCCCTTACTGCTGGTTGAACAGACTCAGTGAGCGGGTGTCCATGATACCACCTGTCCTTCCCACATGTCCTCTCCCTGGCAGGAAGGAGATAGGAGCCTGGGAAGGGCCGGCACAGCTGTTGCCCGAGGAAGCACGGTGAGGAAGGGCATATCTTCCCTAGAGGCGGCCACATGGAGGCACCATGTGCCCAGCAGCAGGCCTCGGCCCTGAGTAAGACACAGGCAAGTGGCGGCCCTCGTGGCTGGCTGGCAGAGCTGGGGCGAGGAGATGAAGGGCGGGGGCGACTTAACCTACACACCTGTCCAGTCTGAGGTGCCTCGGGGGTGTCCAGGCGGAGGTGGGAATTCTGAGTCAGAGGGTGAGGGGAAGTCAGCTGTCTTGAATGCTCCTGGATGGCAGCGAGAGCCACTTGTGCAGAGTCACAGCTGAGGCCACAGTCTTTCCCTGAGTCCCACCACAGTCCTTGTTTTTACCCTTCCCCAGAGTCATTCAGCTTACCACGGGGTTCTTTTTACTTATGTGTGACACTATAATTCACTTTGGTATAATATACAAGCATGGCATATATCTTATTCTAATTGAAACCCCAATCTTATGGCTGTACATGATGGTGGGTGCACTCGGGTGTATTCATGTAAGTTCATGGGAAAAGTATATTGGGCTCACACTCCACTGTCTTTTCTGTTCCTAACCCCGTTGGCTTCCCCTCATTCCCCTTTGTCTAATCTACTGAATATCTGCTCTCCCCCTGTCCCCCGTTTTGGTGGTTATCTTCCACATGGCAGCAAAGACACTCAACCTTTGGCTTGGGGGACTGGCTTGTTTTGCGCAGTCTGCTGGTCCTCAGACCCTTCCATTTACATGGAAGGTCATAAAGTCACCCTCTGCCTGGATGAGTGACACTCCTGTGTACGTTCTAACCTGGCCACTGAACTGTGGGGTCAGCCATCCTGTTGTCTGGCTCGGTGTGGTTCTGAATGATTCTGTGTCAGGTATTGGATGCACTTGGTTCCTGGAGACAGGTCGGCAGAGAGAGCCTGTCACTCACTCTTGTCAGAGGAAAGTGGCAAAACATCAACATGCTGCTACCAACTGCAAGAGACGAGCTCCGCAAACTGTGTGGTCAGACCGCTGCTCTCTGCAGTGAGGCTCTTTGTCCTAGAACATTCTCTCTGTCATGTGACTGCCCCTGTTTCAGAGAAGTGGTGTCATCCTGGGAGACCTGGGGCTGAGCGCGGTCCTGGCTGCGGTTTCCCCTGGCACTCATCTGGCACTCATATTTTCCTGAACAATATAAGAACTACAGCGGGAGGGGAGGGAATAGCCACTTTCTCGTATTACTGGCAAATAATCAGATTACTCCGGAGGTCAGATAAAAATAACTAATTTGTTCCTATAGTTAGTTCCTGTGATGACCGAGGTAATCTTCTGTAAGAAAATTTCAAAATTAATCAGATCTAGGTTCTGGCTTAGGAAATGAGTAAAATAGAACAATGTGGATTTGAAGACAGTGGGCTCTGGATGTTGTGAAGAAAGTCTGCCCCCAGCCGGCCCTCCTGGGACCCCCTGGGGACCATGGCCCTGCTGTGCTTCCTCCCACCCCTGTGCGCCCTTTGTATCTGTGCGGAGGGTGCGCTGGCTTCGGCTAATGGGTCTGGTTTTGTCCGCAGGCCACGTCCTCATAGAGATCTCCATCACCCACAAGAAGCTCAACGAGACTCTCGATGAGAATGTATGTGGATGTCTTCATATTTGCAAAATATGTTCATTTTATTTTTAAATTTTATTTTGCCTAAAATCACAAATCTGGTGTGGACTTTTTATTCCCTTTTGTTAACAGTTCAAAAAATTCCATAAAGAGATTATCCACGAGCTGGAAAAGAAAACAGAACTGGATGTAAAATACATGAACGTGAGTAGGGTGGTCACCCTCCCCCACCCCGGGGTCTGACCTCGTGGCCCCAGAACTTTCCCTATTGCTCGGTCAGCAGCCAGTGGGGTGAGGGTGGCCTTGATATAGGCCTGGCGTTGATACGGGTCTGGCTGCATAAAACCAGCAAGCCCTTTGGGCTGAGTAGGCCCAGTTTTGCCACCACGCGGGATCTGCATTAAAAGAAGCGTAGAAGAAAAAATATGGAAGAAATCACAGTGCCCTGGAGAGCAGGGGTCTCAGAGGGTGCTTCTCTGTGACAGGGCCACTACATCGTGTCCTGCAGCCGGTGCTTTCACAGACCAGTGGTTGAGGGCATGAGTTATGCGTGGGAGGGTGCCAGAAGCCTGTCCTGTGGGTGCCTCTTGCCTGTCACCCAGGATCGTCCATTTTAGTGGTTTTCTGGGCTCTTTCCATTTGGTCCCCCGCCGCAGTGCATGGGCTCTCCCCATCTTTCATTTCTGCTCTAGAATGCTTGCTTGCTTTTGCCACCCCGAGTCCCCTTTCTTCTTACCAAGACCCCATGTGGCAGTAAGTGATACAGGTTACCCCCAAATCATGCCCACCCATCCACCCACCCTACCGCCCGTGTCCTCATGAGGCCTGTGGCCTGCACAGTGCTTTGCTGTGCACTGCTAGAGAGACCACAAGGCCTGACACAACCGTTCAGGCACATTTAATTCTGAGCCTTTTGTGTACATTATCTGATTTTAGTCCCTACAAACACCCCATAACGTACATGCAGCTTAGTAGAAGGAAGGCATGGATTTTGGAGAAATTAATTGCTGAGATCACACAGGCAATGAGAGTGTAACCTGGGTCTATGAGGCTCCGACACTAAGTTCTTAAATACTCTATTGCTGGACATGGTGGGTGCAGCCTGTAATCCCAGCAGCTCAGGAGGCTGAGGCAGGAGGATCGCAAGTTCAAAGCCAGTCTCAGCAACTTAGCGAGGTCTAAGCAACTCTGTGAGACCCTGTTTCTAAATACAAAATAGGGCTGGCGATGTGGCTCAGTGGTAGAGCGCTCCTGAGTTCAGTCTCCGGTGTATACACACACACACACACACACACACACACACAGACAAATCCACTCTGTTACACAGGACCCCCAAAAAGCCACAGGCAATTGCATTTGTTCATTCCATCTCTTGTAGGTTGACTCAAAAAACAGGAACATGTGATTGAGTTTATGTAATCACTAAAACACATACTTACCACCCAGTGTCCAAAAACCTTTGAGGAAAAGGAAGAATAAAAGAGACTGTTGTTCCTGGAGAGCTGCCCTTGTGGTCAAGGGCCCTCGTACAAGCAGGGGACGTGAGAACAGACGACCCCAACGTGTTCAAGATGAATGGGGGAATCTGTGTGAAGTGTGGGTGTGAGGGTGTCAGAGTTGCAGTGAGCCACACAATGATGCGTGAGCAAAAAATGGTCACGCGTGTTGCCTCAGTTAAATAAGCACAACATTTAATTTACAGGCAACTCTAAAAAGATACCAAGCAGAACACAGGAATAAATTAGACTCTTTGGAGAAATCTCAAGCTGAGTTGAAGAAGATCAGAAGGAAAAGTCAAGGAGGACGAAATGCACTAAAATACGAACACAAAGAGATCGAGGTGAGCTTTTCCTCCGTGTTTGCTTTTGCTGTAGGGTATTGTTTGTACACTGTACGGGGAGGCGGGGCTGTGCCTACTCACTGCTGTGCTACTGCTGTAGTTAAAAGTAAGCATTATTTATTAAAAGTATTAAGAGCTGAAGACTGCAGAATTTTCCAGCGTCAAAAATGATTAGTCTGTGAGCTGGGTTTGGTACACGCCTGTCATCCCAACTACGCTGAGGCAGGGCATCCAGGTTCAAGGCCAGTCTGAGCACTTTATTGAGAGCCTGCCTTAAAGTTTTAAAAAGAGCTGGGAATGTGGCTCCGTGGTAGAGCACATGCCTTGGGTTACATCTCCAGCACCTCAGAAAACAAGCAAGAAATATAACTGATTGGGTCAGGCATGGTAGCACATGCCTGTAATCCCAGCAACTCGGGAGGCTAAGGCCAGAGGATCAAGTTTGAGGCCAGCCTGGGCAACTTAGCAAGACCCTGTCTCAAAATAAAAAAAGGACTGGAGATGTAGCCCAGTGATGAAGAGCTCCTGGATTCAATCCCAGACTCAAAAAGTAATCCGTCCACAGCCACCTAAAAACATTAGCATTTCCCCCTGACGTGGTTAGGAGCAGGGGCCTCCTTGACTGGTATTGCTGTCCCCATTTAACATCCTACAGTGAGGGGAAGTGAAGTTTAGGTTAATCCTATGGTTGGCATTTGGAACCCGGGCTTAAACCTGGAGCTCTCTGGCTCCAAAGTCCACAGTGCTCTCCAGTAGAACGCCGTCATCACGACCATATCTCTGGGGCACAAAGTAGTATTTTGTGCCCGGCATCCTGTGGGAATATGAAACTCCTGGCCACTTCTTTCCACACGTGAGTCAAGGACCTTGATGATGGTATCTGCTCCAGTCAGATTCCAACTCTGCCCGTAGAAGGTCTGTCTGCATTTAGTGTTTATTCTGTTATCAAAATAAACTGAGCATAAAGATGACAGGAGATAAACGTCAGGCCATGCAGCTATCTGATGCCTTGTGTCATACTTTTATCGTTGTTGTTTATTTTCCTAGTACGTAGAGACTGTTACTTCTCGCCAGAGCGAAATCCAGAAATTCATTGCAGATGGCTGCAAAGAAGCTCTGCTTGAGGAGAAAAGGCGCTTCTGTTTTCTAGTGGACAAACACTGCAGCTTTGCAAATCACATACACTATTATCACTTACAGGTGAGTGTGTGGGCAGATCGCAGTAAGTGTACCAGCATAGGCAGATGCCCTGGATGCTCTCCCTTCTGGGTAGGCCCCCTATAAAGCAGTGGTAGCCTATTTGCCAATAAGAAGATTCAAAAAAAATTATTTTTTTGCCAATTTGAATGTGTAAACATAAAAATACAGATATATTAACCATATGTCTACTTATAATATTTAGTAATCACCCATATTAAAATTCCTTATAATGCTTATTCATTGAAAAATGGCACCTTTTTTCTTTTCTCACCTACAAATTGATTTTTCGTACACTCTGATGGTCTGGAGTGTCAGTGTCTTTTTTTCTCCCTTGTCCTGAGGATCAAATCCAGGGGCACTCGACCCCCGAAACTATACCCTTAGCCCTTTTTATTTTGAACCAAGGTTTCACTAAGGTGCCCAGGCACAGCCTTGAACTTGCGATCCTCTTGCCTCAGCCTCCGTGAAGCTGGGATTACAGGTGTGCTCCTGTGCCAGTGTCTTGACCAGGGCCAGCCCCTGGGTGGTCTGAGATGCTTTTCTTGTAGACTTTGTGGGGATGGTCACTGGCAACTCTGCATCAGGCATGGACCCCCCATTCATACCCATCAGGACAGCTGGTCCCATTACTGTTCACTCATCTTCAAGGTGTTCATTCATGATCCCCTCAGCTGAGTGGTTGACTGACTTAGTTCCCTGCTCCTGATACGTGCAGCTGTGAGGTTAGAACCCAGGAGCTATTATACAACGTGCTAAATTTTCCTCCTCCTCCTATTTTTTTTTAATTATGAATTCTCTGGGGCCTATGTACATATCCAAAACTAGCACTAATTGAGGTCAAATATCCACCATTGTTCATAATAAGGTAATTCAGAGAGTGCTCCACAGTAGGAGATGCTTTGCAAGAGCTTAAACATAAGTCAACTGTCCCTCTCTTTTGGGGGCAGTCTTGGCCTTATGTGTATATGTGCATATGTTACCTATTCTAAGAAGGTTTTGCAACTTGAAGAAATATTCAGCCAACTAATACATAAATACCTAAGATTTAAAATTGTGATAGCAAAAAACGAACTACTGTATTAAGTGTTTCCTTTTGTTAACCTTACACTACTTAGAGCAATGTTGAGGTAGCTTTAGAAACTTGTTTCCATGGCGAGGGCCTCGTCCTGCAGCAGGGTCATGCTGTGGAGAGCTGTAAGTGGCCCCGAAGCTCCCTTCCTCTGGCACAGCCCCACTGTGCCGTGAGGCAGCCTGGGCTGTTTTCAGGGAGCGCCGTTTATTGGCAAGCTCTTTCTTAGACTTAACCTTGGGTCCCTGCTATGCTTTGGAGTGGCACACACCAGTTCTGTTTCTGTACTAGAACTTCTTTGACTATCTGAAAACTGCTTTGTGACTTCCCTTATCACAGCCAAAGCATCCCAGTCTTTTTTGTGGCTTTGGATGAGGCAGGGCCAAGCTGCTGGTCCATTGTGTGGCACTGCCCCAGTTTGTCAAGGGAATAGTCAGAATGGGCTTTGCGGAGGGTCCTTGCGTCCCCAGGATATACATCAGCATCCCCAGCCACTCCCGATAAACCTAGAGTCTGCATAGGAACCATGCGATTGCCATGTTAAGTAGCTTTACGAAAGGCTCCTACTTCCCTTCTCTGGCCAGACTGCTGCCCTGGGAAAGGGCTCCACTGAGAGGCTTCCGGAGCCTCTGGGAGTCCCATTGCCAGAAGCAGAGTAGGCTTGAGGGAGCAGGAGGGCTGTCCCAGGCTCCGGGCTGCTCTGCCCACCTGTGCCTCTGGGCTGTCCCCGCTGCTCCATGAGGCCTTGCTTAGCCTGTGGGAGGGCACCCTTGGTGCTTCCACCACTCCCTGCCTGCAGTCCCTCCATCCCAGGCCAAAATCTGACTGACTTGTCAACATGTACCTTGGTCTTCTCAAAGTCCAAGGGGTTCCTGGGCCTCTCACCAGCAACTGAGGGGATGCTCTTAGGAGTAGGAGGAAGGAGACGGTGATTGGTATTTCTGGGGCAACTCAGAAAATAGTGAGATTCATAGATTGCCCACCCCTGCCTCCTTTAGCATTTGAACTGATTCTTTCTTTGGGGGCAGGTGTTTTGTCATTTTTGTTTGTTGGTTGGTTTTGGTGCCTGTGCATGCCAAGCACGTGCTCTGCCACTGAGCGCACCCCAGCCCTGGGCGATTTCTACTTATTTGCCACCTCTGCATTAGGTGTGTGTTCACACTGAGGCAGCAGAGAAGTTCCTTGAGGGTGGAGTCTGCTGCCATCTCAGCAAATGAGAGCAGGTGCTCACAGATGCTTACCCCAAAATAACACCCCCAGTGGACTAGCCCAAAGGACCAGGGCTTCCTGAATTAAACTCAGAGCTCCCCCCTTCTGGTGGGAAGCCAGTGGTTCATTATCAGTGATGCCACGCGATGCGGTGTTGCCAGCTCTTCACACAGTGCACGTCTGTGTTTACTTTGTTTCTTTGGGATTTACAGTCTGCAGAATTACTCAATTCCAAACTGCCCAGGTGGCAGGAAACCTGTTGTGATGCCACCAAAGTGCCAGAGAAAATCATGAACATGATAGAAGAAATAAGGACTCCAATCTCTACCCCTGTAGCCGGGACACCTCAGCCGTCACCCATGATTCAAAGAAGCAACATGGTAGGAATCGATCACTCTTCTCTATTTCAACTGCATGTTTACTGATATGATTTGGCTCAAAGGACCAGGGCTTCCTTTGTTGGTTGAAATCATGATCTCTCCTTGTCTCCTTTTCTCAGCTTTTTTCCTTTACCTTCAGATTTGGAATTAGCTGTGCAAATGTGGAATACTATGTGTAGCACTTTTATCTCTGTTTTAAAATTTTATTGTTACTCTTTTTAATTGTAACGATTCCAGCTTTATAAGTTTATCCCCAGTGAAGAAAGTATAGGTATCTTGGAAAAGAGACTGAAAATCTCCTGTGCCATTGACCCAACGTCAGTCACTCGGGGAGGGGGGTATTCAAGGTAAGGAATTCAGGCTGTCTAGTTCCCTGGTGTTGGGACCTGGGCATGACAGCCTTCTTAGTTTTCACAAGCGTGTGTGGAGATCTGGATCCGAGGTGTCTGGACACAGGGATCCCCCACATTTGTTCATCTCCAGCCCCAAAAAATGATAGCCTCCTAGCCCCAGAACAGAACCCTGAGCACCTGCAAAAGTAAGAAATAGCGCCACGAGGAGCAGCAGCGCTGAGGAGTGAGAGAAGAGAGAAGGGCGGGATCAAGGTGCAGGGAATCAACATGGGAGGAGCCTCCTCCTGGCCCAGGCAGGGAGAGGCCGCTGCCAAGGGTAGAGCTGCTGCAGGAGCAGGGAGCAGAGCTACAGGAGACAGGACGTGGATCTCTATTCAGTCTCTTCCCTGGCCCCAAGTACAGGCCACAGGGCCTTTGGTCTACCCGACAGACAGCGTATCTGGACTCCGGGCGGGGGCGAGTGCCCCTGGAAGAACGTGCTGCCTGCCCCCTCCCTCATTGTGGCACCGGTGGCAATGAGAACGGAACAAGTACAGACTAGCAGACCAGTGAAAAGAAGAGGGGCCAGCGGGGGCTCCTGGACACTGGGAAACCCACATCACGAAAGGAGGCACCAGAGTAAACCAGCAGGACCAACTGGGGTCACAGAGTCAGCGGAGGTGGAGGAAGCCATCAAGAACTACTGCTGGAAATCTTGGGAATTAAAAAGTGGATTATTATTTGTAGTTGAAATGATATGTCTTGGATTTGTTTCAAGATAATCCAGCGTGGTTTGGGAAGCCGGGCGAGGCACGAAGAAAGACAAGCCGTGAATTGGTCACCACTGAGACCAGGCCCTGGGCGAGGGAGGGTTGCCGTGCTGTTCAGTCCCGCCTTTGCACAGTGTTTGAATTTTAGTTACATTTTTTTTCCTTCTCCCTTACCCCAAAATAACACCCCCAGTGGACGGCTCAGTAGCAGAGTAGAACTGCCTGAAAACTAAGCCGAAGAGCTCTCCCAAACCCAGTATGGCAGTAACCAGAGGGCTTCACAAACAAGGGACCCAGGACAGATACACGCCAGCAGGTGCACTCACTGCCTCCTCACCGCCACCGCTTGGATTCCACAGGCTTTCAAGTCCAGCTTGTCTAAAACGTGCCTGATTTCTCTGCCTAACCCTGCTTGTCCCGTCTTCCCCAGCCAGTAAGAGGCAACTTGTCCTCAGCCACCAAAGCACTGCTCCTGTCTCTGTCCTCTGCACCAGCCTCTGTCAGCATATCCTCTTGTTTTGGCCTTCAAAGCCCAATTCAGGCCACTCATGGCTTCTCCGCGCCCCCTCACAATGTCCTCTCTTGGGGAGGCCTGCAGTGGCCCTGGGCCTGGTCTTCAGCACAGCAGCCAGAGGGATGAACACCTGCACAGATGTGAGCCAAGTTTCAGAATATTAAGGATACAGAGAAAATCCTAGAAAATTCCAGGGGGAAGAGAATACTTACAGAGAAAGGTGAATCCCATTGATACCAGATTTCTTTTAGCAAAACAAGATGATAGGATTTGGTGTAAGTACATTCAAAATTCTGTGGAAACATTATTTTAAATGTAGAATCCTATAACTAAGTAGCACTTTGAGGGGACCTAAAATACCTATAGAGAGAAAGTGGATCAGTGAGTGGTCGCCAGGGTGAGGGATGGAGAGTGGCTGCTGCCTTTTTTTTTTTTTTTTTTTTAAGAGTAAATATTTTTTAAAAAACGTATGGAGGGGAAAAAAGAGGTATGGTATTCTTGAAACAATCAATATGGAGCATTGCCCTACAACTAAGAGAATTGGAGAAGAAGGTGGGATTTAAAACACGTGATACAAAACAGTTCTGGGACTCTTTATCGTTCCACTGTTATTCTAATATTAGACTAATATTTTTTCCCACAGATTGGGAAAGATTATGACACCCTTTCTAACCATTCTCCAAAGATGCCCCCAGCTCCTTCAGCCAGAGCGTATACTAGTCCTCTGATTGATATGTTCAATAACCCAGCAACAGTTGCACAGAATTCAGAAAAGATAAATAATTCAACAGGTAAGATACTTGGTTTAATTTCCTTTCAGGTATCTTTTTAAATTTTTAAAAGTAATCTGTAAAATAAATATTTTGGCTAAATGTATTGGGAAGGAAAAAGGTAAATACTGAGCTGAGTAGAGTAGATACATCTGGCCCTAGCCTTGAGTAGCTCACATCTCAAAACAAATAAGGGTTAGACCATAGGACATCTTGATAAGTGACCCATTTCTGACACTAATTCTGAATGCTGATGGATGCTGGATAGAGTAAACATACTGCTGAGACGTGCTACATCTAAGAATGAGCCAGCTAGAATGCACCCAGCCTCACCCTGCGTTCCATACTTGGTGGCTGTTACAGTAAAATTTCCTTTTCAGAAAAACAAACTATAAAAGTTCACATGACAAAATTATGGTCATAAATCTTACCAATAGGCTTCATTTGAATTCTCCTCCGTATTCTCCATCATCTCTAACAGGGCACCGCAGACTTTCTGGAGACCTAAGTGTAACTGCTTAAATTTCTGAACCCATCACTGTAGTTCAGCACTCAGGACCAGTTTGACAATCAGGAAAAGCAGACGTCTCAGGCTGCTTCCCTGGTGGCCCCTCTCTTATGTGGTCATTGGCACCCAAGCCCTAGGGCCATGTTGTGGTGCCTGGCCCACGTGTGTGGGTGTTTCAGAGGCCCCAGCAGCAATCAAGTTGGGTGTTGAAGAGAACCTGCAGATTACAGATGCTTGCAGCTGCTGGCCAAAGATGAGAGATTCCCTAATGACAGTGAGGATTGCTTAGCAGGAAAAAATGATAGCCTGTGGTTAATTCCTTTCAAAGGAAGTACAGAATTGCACAAGATGTAAGGCACATGGCCAGACATGGTGGTAGACGTCTGTAACCCCAGCTACTCAGGAGGCTGAAGCAGGAGGATTGCAAGTTTGATGCCAGCCTGGGCAACTTAGTGAAACCCTGTCTCAAAATAAAAACAAAAAAGGAGAGTGGGACGTGGTGGCACTCGCCTGTAATACCAGCAGCTCAGGAGGCTGAGGCAGGAGGATTGCGAGTTCAAAGCCAGCCTCAGCAATGGCGAGGTGCTAAGCAACTCAGTGAGACCCTGTCTCTAAATAAAATAGAAAATAGGGCTGGGGATGTGGCTCAGTGGTCGAGTGCCCCTGAGTTCAATCCCCAGTACCAAAAAACAAAGAAGAAAGGTCTGGGGATGTGGCTCAGTGGTAGAGCACTTACCAGTTCAATTCCAGTGCTACAAAGGGGAAATTTTTACTTATTTATTTATTTTGGTAAGAATAAAGCAAAAAGAGATCCTGCGTTGCTTTAAATTAAATCTCCAATCCAATTTTTGTTTTCTGGAGTGGCACATGTCAACCTGCCATCGATTTGAGACATGACTTTTATAACATAGCACCTCCAAGTAGAGGCTGTGGGCTTGCTGCCCGCATGGTGTCCCGCACACCCAGTGGTGCATCCTGGGGACTCTGTGGGGCTCCGTTCCTTTTTCTGTCTGTCAGTAGTAACCGTGGCTTTCTGGTGGCTGAAAAGCACTGAGATCGTTGACTGCCCCCTAGTGAGGGCTCAAAAAAGAGAACTGTCTCCTCATCCTTGCTCAGGACCGAGAAGCCAGAAGGTCCACCTTTCCAGTCTGCCCCTTCTCCCTGTGGCTCAGGGCATTAGCAGTGGGGTTGTGCTGTTGCCTCAGATGCTTCTGTGACCCAAGCAAGGAGCAGCTGGGTGTTGGGACAGAAGCGAGCCAGCCTGGCGGCCACCAGTGCTCCCCGCTCATCCTCTCCTCTTAAAGGGCCCGCGGCCCACTGTGAAAGCCCTCGGGCCACAGCCTGCTTGTTCCCTTGCAGGCCAGTCCCATCTGGGCAGTGTGAAGGCCTGGAAGGGGCCCACTAGCCTAAAGGGTCACATGGGCAAGGTGTGGCAGGGGGTGTTCTGAACTTGCCTGATGGTCAGCTCTGAGAAGCCGTCCCTGCTGTCCCTGCTGCGCTCGCTTTAACAGATACCTCAGAGGACGCCAGTTTACAGCGTTCTGTTTCGGTCGCTTCTGGACTGAACCTGATGAAAAAGCACAAAGTAAAGACCATCTTCCCGCACACCGCGGGCACCAACAAGACCCTGCTCAGCTTTGCACAGGGAGATGTCATCACGCTGCTCATCCCCGAGGAAAAGGACGGCTGGATGTACGGGGAGCATGATGCCACCAAAGCGTAAGTTGACGTGAACCGCTTCGCAGGGCTCACCCAGCCCTCGTTCAGAAGGTTTACTTAAGATGCAAATCGTGGGGGCAGACTAGCTCTTCAGCCAGAGTTGAGTTTGTAGTTCAGTTGGCAGAGTCGCTCCATCCCAGGCTATTTTTGTTGCATCTGTGTATACAGAGATAGATTTGGTACATGAAGAGATTAACAGATCATGTGCATAACCTCTGACAGGGCCTTACATGTTGTTTTAAAAAATGTGGCTTTGGGCCAGGCGTGGATTGAAGGCCCATAATCCCAGCAGTGCGGGAGGCTGAGGCAGGAGGATTGCAAGTTCACAGCCAGCCTTGCTAATTTAGTGAGGCTGTAAGCAACTTAATAAGACCTTATCTCAAGATAAAAAATTTAAAAAAGGGTAGGGATGTGGTTCAGTGGTTGAGTGCCCCTGGGTTCAATCCCTGATACCAAAAAGGAAAAAAATACAGGACTTTGGGTTTCTCGGGGATATTAGATAGACTTTAAGAAGCATCTGGAGTGGTGGCATACTCCTGTAATCCCAGGGCTTGGGAGGCTGAGGAGGATGCAGGTTTGAGGCCAGCCTCAGCAGCTTAGAGAGGTCCTAAGCAACTTAGTGAGACTCTATCACAAAATATAAAATAAAAAGATGTAGCTTGGTGGTAAAACACCCCTGGGTTCAACCCCCAGTACCAAAAGAAAAAGAATTTAAGACAAATTGTTTAAATGTCACCCTTGTCATTTCAACCACAAGTCTACATAAGTCTCATTGGCACTAGGTTGTCAGTTTGCTGTGTATGGAATAAAGCCAATTAAAAAAATAAAGGGAGTCTGAGTGACACGACTATGTATGTAAGACGCTCACTGTCCTGGTTTGTGTGTGCAGTCAAACTTATTTATAAAGCCTGGTTTCCCTCAGTCCCTTATGAGCCTTCACTGCTAGCCAGGGCCACCTGCCCAGGCCATCGTCAGGACGCCCCGTACTGTGCACTTGCCCTGCCCGCATCTCATAGCACAAACAGGTCCTTTTTTTTTTTTTCCTTCACCTGCAGGAGGGGTTGGTTCCCATCGTCATATACAAAGTTATTGGAAGAAAATGCAAAGGAATCGGTGGCCGCGCCTGCTCCAAGGTAGCCGATGTGAGCCAGCTCTCCTGACCTTCCCCTAATGTTCCCAGAGGGCTGGGTGTGGGTCTGTGTAGGACACTGCAGTGTGCATGAGGCCCTGGGTTCAATCCCAAGGACCACAAAACAGACAAAAAAGAAAAAAAGCAAGAAAAGCTGAGTTATAACCTAGACGTGCAGCAGCCCCACCACCACCATAGAACATTAGCCCCCGGGAGTAGGAGTGGTGGCTGCTCCAGTGGTTTCTATGAGAGGCCCCGATGGTCTGCTGTGAAGATGCTCGTGCCTGGCCCACCTCCTGCAGCCCTCTGAGGCCACCCTTGCTGCCTCCCCCTCCCGCAGGTGCTAACCCACAGCTCACATTCAATGCCCTTACCTTTCCCAGCAGCTCTTACCACTAGAGAAGGCTTTTCTGCAGTGAGTGTTCTCTCCCCTTGGTTTCATGACCCGTTTGCCATCTGTTTTCCTTGGGCTCACCCGCTGTCCCTGTTCAGAAGCCTCTGCAGGGCCCCCTCTGCCCACCACCAGTACTGGGCACTCCTGGGTCCGTCCTCAGCCTTTCCCTTGTCTGCTTTCTGGGCCTTCTCATCCGCTCACGACCGTGACCCCACAAATCCATACTCCACAGGATCAGACCAGTAATGATAGCCCCACCTCGGGGCTGTCCCCCTGCTTTGTGTTGGGGAGCTCACAGCAACCCAGAGACGGGACCCTCCCCACACCTTTAAAACAGGCAGCTGCTGGGCAGGTGCACACCTGTAGGCCAGGAGCATTGCAAACTCAAGGCCAGGCTGGCAGCTCAGCAAGACCCTGTCTCCAAATAAAGAATGGAAAGGGCTAGCTGTGCAGCTAACTGGCAAAGCCCCCGGCTTCAATCACAGGACCACGAAAAACAAACGGACAGACACAGGAAACAGGGTTTAAGAATATGTTCACGGGCTGGGGCTGGGGCTCAGTGGTAGAGCACTCGCCTAGCACGGGTGAAGCACTGGGTCCGATCCTCAGCACCACAGAAAAATAAAATATTGTATCCACCAAAAACTAAAAAATTAATATTGGAAAATAAAAAAAGAAAATGTCCAAGGATACAGAGAAGTGCAGAACCCAGACCCAGAAAGGGCTCTTTGATTTAAGAATGGATTTTTGTGTGTGTATTAGGCAGTTCTAGTTGGCTGTCCCTTGGCCCCCACAAATGACAAGTTCAATTGAGCTGGTCCTCCTCCCCTACACTGCCTCTTAGTGTTCCTTGTCTCAGAGAAACCATCACAGCCCCCCCCCCCCAGCCCCCGGCTGTGCAGGTCGACCCTTAACACCATGGTCCTGGGTCCTCCCCCAGCAGGTTCTTGTGACACCATCTGGGTATGCGCGTCCCTAGCAGAAGAGCCAGAAGGCCACCTGCCAACAACAGAAACTATCGTCTTAAGATGTTAAAATTCTGAGTGTCAACATTTTTTATCTTGGTCACCTGCTGCTTGGTGAGGGTCTGGCTGTTCTGGTTGATGTCCTTAAATGACTCAAAAGTCAACCCCAAATTAAATTGTTTTCCTCTCCTTTTTTTTTTTTTTTTTTTCAGTTTCACTATAAATCTTCTTTTTTAATCTCTCTCCTTTTTTCATGTCTTTTAAAAAAATGTTTTTTGAATAGACCTTTATAATCCAGGAAAAACACCGAGTGCCTTATGCAGATGCATAGAGTGTGTGCCACCATCCCCCCCTCTTCCCTTTTGGCTTAGTGGTCCTGGTCGGGGGTGCTGGGGTCGGGCAGGGTGGAGGACCTTCTCTGACTTTGCTCTGTGGTCTTGGCCTCAAGCCCTGCCCCGGTGAGGAGCGTCAGCACGGTGGACCTGACTGAGAAGAGCAGCGTGGTCATCCCGCCCCCCGACTACCTGGAGTGCGTGTCCGCGGGAGCCGCTGCCGGTGGGAGAGCCGATGCTGCGCAGAGCACGTCCACCTTCAGAGCGCCGGCGTCCAAACCAGAGGCCACGTCTCCTGTGAGTGCACTTGACTTCCCTCCCGGTCACCTGGCTCTGCCCTGGCAGAGGGTGGGCTCCTGGCCAGGTGGGCTGGGGGCGTCTTCTCCCCCCGACTCCGGTCATCTTCCCGAAGCCCCATCACAACAGCCTTCCTGTGTCCCTGTGTCCCTGACGGTTTCCACGTCCTAGTGGCTGGGTCTTTTAGGGCTTTCGGGAAACCTTGCCTCTGGTGGCAGCTGCAGTCCTCTGGTGGCAGCTGTGTCCCCTTCCTCCGCCTTTCCTTCCCCTCTGCACTGTGTTCACCCCTGTGATGTCATCTTAGACCAGCCCTGGGAAGAACAGCCAAGGCATGGGTTCCCGGCGTCATGGCTCTTTTGACAGCTGCAGGCGAAGGGAGAGCATCTGTGGCACACCAGGCGCTGGTGCGGGCTCTGGGGACAGCAGTGAGCGACGAGGCCCTGGCTCCCTCGGAGCCCAGTCCTGGTGTAGGAAGCAGAGCGTAAAACTAAACCAGCGGATCCAGAATGAAAGAACTAAGGCCAGGCGAGGAGGTGGCAGAGCGGGTGACAACCTAGGTGGACGGGACAGGTTAAGTGTGCTGAGTGACCTCAGCACCCTGGGAGGGAGGCCTGAGGGAAGGAGGGGTGCTCTGGGTGTGGACAATGTGGAGCTGGCTCGGGGGCCAGGCCTCTGGGCCTCGTGACAGCCAAAAGCAGTCCCCCAGCAGCCCCTGCATGGGGAGCAGCCCTCCAACCTGAAGGACATGGAGCATCTACAGCCACGGGCTTCTCTGAGGTGACATTTAGGTTGACAGTGACAAGGATCCAGCTGTGCAGGGCTTGAGGTTCTTATGAGACGAGCAGGAAGCTTTAAATCCCTGGGCGCCATGTTTCCGAGAGAGCAGAGAACGTGGTGCTGGGTCAGGGCGCTGCTGGTCCCCAGGGTTTCCTCTCCAGCACACATCAGAAGGGATGGAGAGGGGGCTGAGAGGCCAGACAGGCCAGGCAGGGAGGAGGCCTAGGGCAGGGGTGTACCCAGGGGTCCCCGGCCCTCTCCGCTCAGAGCAGGGGAAGGTGGCAGCTGCTGGCCAGGCCAGGCGAGGGGGCAAGTTTGACGGGAAGCTGTGGAGCAGGGCACAGGGCAGCAGTCAGAGGGTCAGGCTGCTTGTCCTGGGGAGCCCAGGCTGTGTCATGCTGGCTGTGTCCACATGGCGTCCTCTGCGGTGTCCTCCTCTCTGCGTTCCTGGTCATGGGTAGTGAGGGAGGCCTCAGGCCTGGTCGGACCTGCACCATGGCTTGTTCATGGTCCTGTCTGCATATCCTATGGCCTCTCTCTGGGCTGGTGGTTGCTGACAGTCACCAGGCTCCACTGCTGCATCAAGGTCATGTGATACCTCTTATGGCAAAAGAATTTTGTCCCAAAATGATGCTCTGGGATTACGAATGAAGACACTGACGTCCATCTCGCCCTTGTTGCCGTTGTACTGAGGCTAGACCCGGGGCACTCTCCCACTGAGCTTCGTCCCTCGTCCTTTTCACTCTTTATTCCGAGACAAGGTTTTGCCAAGTTGCTGAGGCTGGCCTTGAACTTGAGATCCTCCTGCCTAAGTAGCAGGGTTACTGGCATCGCTGGCCTGCCTGTTGTCGGACCTTCGGTGGCTGCCCGGGGAGGCACTGGGCAGGGCGGGTGGCCTGAGGCTGGCAGACACCACCCCTCCATTCCACCCGCTCCTCGCACAGAAGGAGAGCTGTCATAGTCAGCATTTGCATCACTGTGACCAAAAGACCCGCAAGAACAACATAGAGGAGGCAGAGTTTGTTTGGGGTGGGTCCTTGGTCCACAGACAGCTGTCCCCATTGCTCCGGGCCCAAGGTGAGGCAGAACATCGTGGCAGAAAGGCATGGTGGATTAAAGCAGTTTAGGATATGGCCACCAGGAAGCAGAGAGAGAATTCTACTCACCAGGGACAAAACAAGTCCCAAAGGCACGCCCCTGGTGACTACCTCCTCCAGCAACGCCCAGTTTATCCCCATCAGGGATCATCAGTTACAGCTCTCATAGCCCCCCGGCCTCGCACTGTGGGCGTCTGGGGAACATGTCCTGTCTAAACCCCAACAAGCACAGAGTCTTCTCCCAGGGACCCGCCCTGGAGAGTGGGAGTGGGAGTGGGGTGCATGAGGGGGGGGCAAGACACACGGAAGCCACTGGCGCTTTCCCACCTGAGCTCTTGGGGCGTGGGGGATAGCTGACCCCTCCACTTAAGGGGCTCCCGGTGAGTCATGCCCCGCAGAGCTGCTTATCCAGAACCCCTCCCCACACAGTCCATCCCCATGACTTGGGGTCCTGTTTGTGTTTCACATGCTAAGAAGGCCTTCTGTGTCATTTTAGTAGCCATTGATTTTGGGTTTCACTTAAGAACACTTACAAGTTTCCAATGTCTAGAAAAAATGCCTGCCTTACGTGGTTCTAATGGTGATGTCAGTTGTCATTACTTGGCAAGTCTTAGAATGTTGGTTAACTCTCACTACCCCTGAAACCTTCCTGGGAAGCCTGGTTAGCCCCTCAGACAGGTAAGGAGTTGGTACCTGCAGCAAAGTCGTGTGGATGACTGATGGCAGCTGATGGCAGCTGACATTCCTCTGGCAGAAGCCCTCCCACCAACCTGACCTCTCTGTAAACACTGTCAAGTGGTAGGTGAGGCCCGTGTGGGAGGAATCTCTGTGGATTAGGGTGAGACCTTCACATAAGCATTCAGCCATTCTGCATTTGCAGACCAGCTTGTGGTCCAGGTCTGTGCACAGACAGGACGAAGACCAAGCTGGGGGTGGAGCCCAGGGGGCAGGTGGAGCCAAGAGTGCAGGACTGGGCCCTGGAGGCATGGGGGTGGACGTCTAAGAGGAAAGCATCTGAGCCGAGCTCTAAAGACTGAGATTTAGCAAACACACAACCTAGCTGTAGTGGCATCTGGCTATGACTTGTGGGGTACAAGCAGCATGGGGACCAACAGGAACGTGGTGGGGTGGACAGGTCAGGCCTAAAGCCTGATGAGCCAGGTGGCCTGAACTGCATTGGGTCCTGGGTCCAGCCTTTCAGTTGGCTATGAGGCTGGGTGGCCATTCCCCTCCAATGACATGGGAAGGGTGACGTCACAAGGGCTTCTCCAGAACTGGTGACTGACTGGTGTAGACCACATGAGGCAAGCCATTGTTCTGTCTTTGCCCTCAGCAGGTCTGATTTGCTCATATTTACATATTTTGGAGCCATTTTTTGAAAACTTATGTAATTTGAGCTCTAGATCTTTAACATGCCAATCTTTTTTTTTTTCCGGTGGGGAGGTGGCAGGGAGTACCAGAGATTGAACTCAAGGACACTTGACCACCAACTCTCATCCCCAGCCCTATTTTGTATTTTATTTAGAGACAGGGTCTCACTGAGTTACTTAGGGCCTCAGCCTCCTGAGCTGATTACAGGCGTCTGGCAACATGCCAATCTTAAAAATAGGAAAAACATTCTTTAAATGCTAGAAAAAAAGATGGGACCATTTTGAAGATTCTGAATTCTTAAGTAAGGGCCTATAGGTTACAATCTTATGCATTAATTCCCAAATGAAAGACTTTTGAGACAGAAATACACCAAAATCTACATTTGTTTTCTAAGTGTAAAGCAATTGATAAATGTTAGTTCTAAAGTTCATCCTTGTTTCTGCCTCCAGAAACAGTTTGTCAATTTGATTATTTTGTAGCAGAGCTTTAAACAAAATATTCACTAGAAATCCATGTTTTAATGTAGTAGTCAAATGTCATCGTCTGCTAGATGCATTAAACATCCACCAGATTAGGTTCCCTTTTTAAACCCACATGCAAGTCATAGCTCCAGGTTTTTGTTAAAGAGCAAAGTTCAAGTTTGGGCAGTGGCTCCTTCGTAAAAATTTAACCATCTAATTAATCGTTACACTCATACCTATGGTGCTTCTATTAAAATAACATTTGCTGCTTGTAAAAAATCACCTAAGGTTCTGGGATTTTTTTGGTAATATCATTGAGGAAACTAGAAAAATATTTTTAAATTTTTAATTATGTTTTCACTTCTAGGATACCTACTATTAACATTTTATCGCATTCCCTCAAGAGAGAGACAGACAGATAGACGGACAGCTTTCCTAACTTCCACCTGTCTGCACCAGCCACACAGCGGAGCCGGGGCCCCAGCTGAGCTGCCCTGTGGTCAGCCAGGCCCCTGACACCCAGGGGTGAAATGCAGAAAGGGGAAGCACAGAAACATGACAGGCAGTTCTGAGGTCCCACAGCTTGTTGGAAATAAGCTGCGAACAGGCATCAGCCTTTCACATCAGAACATGCTCACTGATGGACACCTGCCACTCTCACCTGTGGCTAATCACTGAGGTCCTGAGGAGTTGCTTTGCCGTTCCTCTGACCTAGAGGATAGTGGAAAATACCAAGTAGGGAAAGTCACAAGAAAACAGTAATTGGCTTTTAAAAATCAAAGGGCCACCAGGCCTGAGCGCCTCCCAAGCAGGTGCTGTCAGCCGCCACTTCAAGGGCCACCCAGCTGTGCTGCTTGAGGACATCCACTTTTCCTTCTCTCTGAAACAAACGAGGAAGAGGGCAGCAACCCTCAAGTAGGTAGTGCCTCACAGGTGCACGCACGGTTAAATGGTCGCCTTACGTTCCTATCACAGAATTGACGTTTTTAAAGTAGTATTTCAAGATCTCATGTTTTTCTTTTCTTTTTTGGTACCAGAGATTGAACTCAGGGCCACTCAATCACTGAGCCACATCCCCAGCCCTATTTTGTATTTTATTTAGAGACCAGTCTCCCTGAATTGCTTAGCGCCTTGAAGTTGCTGAGGCTGACTTTGAACTCGCGACCCTCCTGCCTCGGCCTCCCAAGCCGCTGGGATGACAGGCTGTGCCACCACGCCCAGATGAAAAGAAGGGAAATTACCCCCGGCATATGTGGCCTCTCCTAACGTCGTTTTTCAACTGGATGGGCCACTACATATTCTTTGCTGCCAAGTGGTTCAAACCAGGAGTCCTAGGGCCACAGCCCTGGGAGGCCAGGGACCCTGACTCCAGGCAGGAGTGGCCGCTTGCCACAGGCCTCCTGGTGTTGGCCGCCTCTCCCGGAGCAACAGGAAGTGCTGTGTCTAGTACTCTGTGTGGCCGGGGAGAGCTGCAGTAGGTGACACTGGAGAATTTAGGCATCAGGCGGAAATGTTCTGGAACTGTCCTGCTCAGTGCAGCAGCTGAGCAGCCTTAAACAGTGCAGGGCACTTAGGAAGTTGGATTGACTGTTTTGTCCATATATGGCCAGTGGCCACCCTGCCAGACAGCCAGGTTCCAATCGCGCAAACTACAGCAGTGTTCAAGATTGACCCACAGTGGGACGCTCTGTGGGACGCTTAAGATGGCAGCCCGCCATGCCTGGCAGCCATGGGGACCCAGTCAAGTTCTGACACCCAAATGGTTTAACTTTCTTTCCTTAACAAAATATTTAAGCCAGTTGTTGACATGGGGAACTAGGTGCTGCTCAGGCCAGACTCAGGGACCCATGAGAGCTGGCAAAGCCCCCGTCTTCAGCTATGGTCACTTGCACACAAAGGTTTGGTGTTTCTAACATCAGCGTTCTTGGGCTTAAGGACACCCACACATGATACTGGCGCCCTTCTGCCCCGTGATGTCGCCTCTGAAAAGATCTCAGAAAAGCTGAGAAGGGCTTCACCCCAAGTGGCTCAGGGGAGCGGCCATGTGGACCAAGCTCAGGGCTCAGCGTGGGCCATTGTTCCCTAAGTCACCTGAGAGACATCCTTGCAAACATGATTAAAAGCTCGGCTGTCTCAAGCCCAGAGCCACATTTCAAAGTGCACGTTTGCCATGGCGGAGCCCCTGGTGCAGGCTGGGGGGGTGCTTTGGTTGGCCCCCCACTGGGCACCTTGATTCAGAAAAGGTCCCAGGACTCGGAGCCATTGGCTTCTCCCTGTTTGGCCTCAGTGTTCCCATTTTAAGAATAAAGGGTTGAACTAGATCAGAGGGAGCTGGGAGACAGTGGCAGCCCTAGGGGACGGCATGAATTGCCAGCGCTGAGGACAAGTGTTGGAGGCCTTGTGGCAAGTGACTGGCCTCCAACTGCTTAGGAAGGAAGTGTTGTTCTGTTTCACTGAGTGGACGTCCTGAGGCCAGCGTCCTCGCCGTCCCATCACCGCCTGGCCTGCCACAGTGAGGCCCACTCACTGTCCTCGGCTGGACCTGGCTCACCCTGGCTGGGCCTCAAGGCTCCTCTGTGCCGGCAGCTGGGGAAGGAACTGTTCTGGTGGTCTGAGGTGACAGGGACCTTCCTGTAAGCGGGGATCAAGTGATCCCCTCAAGGCACATAGGCCTGTGGTAGACACCCCCACAAAAACCTGTACAGGAGGGAAGGGTGAAGTAAAGTGGACAGCAGCTGCTCGGTCAGCAGTGTCCCGTGCAAGGCGTTGGGGATTTCTGGGTTCTCCTGTCCTGCCCTGCGGCCCCCACCTGTTGGTTCTCTGGTTCTCCAGTTTCAAAGCCGTCACTGCCCTTACCCTTCCACTCTCCTGATGGCCTACTGTGGGCACCTGGGTTCAGCCTGGATCACCTCCTGTCCTGTCCACTGTGCTCTGGGACAAGCACCATGCTGGCTGCCGAAGAGGACCGAGGAGGAAGTGCAGCAGGCCCACTGTGCCCCAGGGCCCCAGAGATGACTCGTTCTTAGGCCAGCTAGAAAAGGGGGCTGCACTGGGGAACACTCAGTCCTGGCTACCAAGGGCGTGTGCTGGCCGAGCTGGGCGGGGTGCTGGGAGATGGCGGTCCCTACTGAGGTCGCTGATACTCGGCACCAAAAGTACAGTCTCGGCACTCACTGGACTAGAAGAAATCCGGGCTCGTGGAGAGCTCCCCTGACCCAGCATCCCAGCAGTCACTGGGATCTTTGGTACTGGGGTTGAACCCAGGGGCCCTTTACCACTGAACCACATCCCCAGCTCTTTTTATTTTTTGAGACAGGTTCTCACTAAGTTGTTGAGGCTGGCTTTGAATCTGCAATCCTCCTGCCTCAGCCTTCTAGTGGTGTGCACTACCACACTCAGAAAAAATCCCAAGTGTTAAAGGGGAAATTGGTCTGAAAATGACTGACACAGGTGCACCTGGACTGACAGCACTGTAAACTGAGGACACGCCTCGCCTACAGACATCCCAGCTGAGTAGCAGCACAGGGCACACAGTGTCAGGTGTCCCCCCTGTGATTGTGGGGCTGACAGGAGCCACGGCTCGAGACCTTACCCAGGGCCACTAGAGACTGCGCCACACATATTGCTGGCCCAGGTGAAGATCCACAAAGTTCAAAGTACAGTTTCTACTGAACACACACTGCTTTCACACCAGCAGGAACGTGGAAATCAAGTCAAGACACTATATTCAGGGCTGCATCTAGGCTTGTTTTTTTAAAGTAAACATTTTATTAAAGAATACCACATACTGAAAAGTGCACAACACATTTCCACAAAGTGACTCTATATCCAGCAGCAGCTCAAGAAACAAGGTTCCCTGTCCCCAGGGCCCCACCACCACCCATGCACACCCCATGCAGTTCCCATCCCTCCCACAAGGCCAGAATCCCAGTGTCCTGGCACTGAGTGGCCTGCCGGGGACAGAATTGCCTGGGTGTGTTGAGCATGGGCTGTTAGCACCGGCTGCCCGCAGCACCTTGGTGGCCGTGTGCCCTGCTGGTCCATGCCAGTGCCGGGGTATGCCCAAGGAGACACAGGCACAGCACCAGGATCTGCCCCAACACCTGAGAGGTTCTGGTCTGTTTGCCCTCTTCCTCACGGCAGTCCTTGCCTCATGCCACGTTACTCTTGAAGATTTGCCAGGATTCCTTCAGGCAGCGTGGGTAAGCACCCAGACTGATGCCAGGGCTCATTAAAATACCAGTGAACTTGCTTTAAGATTCAGTTGGGCCTTGAGGCCCCAAGCAAGCGCAGGCCTCTGCTGGAGCACAGCTACTGGTGGGGGCTCCCAGGTAGAGGAAGCTTCTGGCTCCGGTTCCAGTGGGCAGAGCGCCTGCGCCCCCAGGTGGCAGCACAGGGAGGGAACAGTGCTCTGCCCCAAGGCTAGAAAGTGCCTTCCAGTGAGAGGCAGGGCCCAGGGCTGGGCCTGCTGGTGTGAGCGGTGCTTGGCATGGTGTGAGGAGTGGCTCTGGCCAGACACAGTGCCCTTCTGACCTCTGGGTCTACAGGAAGCTCCCTTCCTGCACAGGGGCTGTCACCGCGGGCTTCCTGCTCCGGGCAGTGCGTCACTCCAGCGCTTTGAGAAGGCAATCAACAGGCACGGTGGGGCACACTTGTAATCCCAGCAACTCAGGAGGTGAAGGCAGGCTGATCCAAGTTCAAGGCCAGCCTCAGTTATTTACCAAGACCCTATCTCAAAAATAGTATTAAAAAGGGCTCAGAATGTGGCACAGTGTGAAGTATTCCTGGGTTCACTCCCCAGTACAAAAACCAACATATTAGGAATGACACCAGAAATGACCTACCGAGGCCTGTCGGGGAAGCCCGGCTCCCCTGGAGAAGTCACTTTTGCAGCCACTTCAAGGCCCTATTGGGATTTGCTCAGCAGGGCAGTGGCTGTGCTTCTGTGAGGAACAGCAGACGTTGCAGCTGCCCTGGCCTAGGGCTCTGAGGCTGTGGTCACACCCGGGACCCAGCCGTCTTGGGCCCAGCATTTGGAAGACACCTTCCAGCAGGAGCCTGGCCCTAGCCTTCACCCTCAAGGCTGGCACTGGGAAGTGAGAAGAGCATTCCAAGTCTCCATGTGCCAAGACAACCAGGAGCCTGGGAAGCTTTCTGGGGACTTCAAGGCAGTCGGGCCTGGCTCTCTTGGCCAGACGGCTTTTCGCTGCCCTCTGCTGGGTGTCCATGTGCAGCAGCAGCAATTTCTCCAGAGAACCGCAAGAACTAATGAGGGGGAAAGGTGCACACACACACCTGGCCCCAGTCAGCACTGCACAGCAGTGCCCATGAGAACCTCAGCGGCCTCCCTGGGACTCCAGAGGCACAGCCCTGGAGGGGCAGTGGGAGGGCTCAGCGCTGCAGGGCTTGGGCAGTTCCTGGTGTTAACGTTTGCATTGGTGCCATCTTCTCTCCCTCCCGTTTTGGGACTTCCTGTCTGTAAGACCACTGGCCCCAGTAATCGGCCTCAGCCTCCCAGTCAGCAAGGTTCGGTTTTTACCTTCTACTTTTTCAGGTCTTCATTCAGTATTTAGTTCCCAAAAAAGCCCACCACCATCAGGACGGCTCTGCCAGAGCCGAGTCTGCCTCTCCCCTGAGCGGCGCTGGCCTGCACACAGGTGTTTCCTGGTGGCTCAGCTGCTCAGTTAATTTGCTCAGGACTGAGTGTCTGTGTTTAGGACATGGTCGTCCCAGGCTGGCCTGTGTGGGTGCCTCAGCCACACTCTTGAGGCAGCTGTTTGGTCCATGTTCTGACACTAGTGAGGGGCCCTCCTGGCCATAGGACATTGTCACATCTCACCCTTCTTCTTTCCAATGAATTCAGACACCGAGGTGATCTCACAGACAGACCACAGGGTGCTTTTAAAACAAGGAACCTTAAATAGTCCTTACGCTTTCCGGTTCTTTATCTGCAGGTCTTATTAAAAATGTCCCAATTTCATGAGCCTTTCATGAACTTCCTCTTTATCTTCCCTACAGAGTGATGCAAACGGGACCGCAAAGCCGCCCTTTCTCAGGTATGTGTGACTCCTGGAGCAGCTCTTCTGAGCTGGTGCTGCCCTTGCCTGGGGGAGTGGGCAGCGCCCCAGCCCAGGAGGCCCAGCCTGAGAGGGCCATCATCCCCGCCTGCTTTGCCCTTCCCGGCATCAGGCCTAGAGGGACTGAGCACTTGTGCCCTGTCCAGCTCCTGTTCCAGGTGGTTCCCACACGCAGCCCCCCTCCCAGCACAGGACCACAGAGGTGTAAAGCTTTGGAGTGTCCCCAGTGGGTCACATGGAAAGGACTGCAGACTTTCACAGAAACATCATTCGAGGCTTGTACACATGGGGAAGGTGGGGAGCGCCACAACCCAGAGCAAGAATAGGGTTAGCAACTCATTTTAAATGGAATTCCTGTCCTGGAACAGTTTGTCTATAGTTTCCCCCTCCCTCCTCTACAGTGGAGAAAATCCCTTTGCTACTGTGAAACTCCGACCAACAGTGACAAATGATCGATCAGCACCGATCATTCGATGAAGATGCCCATTCGATGAAGATGCCACAGATCCTCCTGGTCCCTCTGATGTCGAGTTCTCACCTGCACAACAATAGGTCTATACTGACAAGTGCTGGGACTGTCGTAGGCTTCACCCAAGGGGGCCTGATTTCCAATGTATCCTACTTGAGCAAATCAATGCATTTTCTCAATTTAGTTAGCATAGTTGGGTTTACACATTTCTGTCTTTAAGATAAGTGAATAATAGTTTAGTGACCAGCTCAATCATTTGAAGTATTTTTTCCTATTCTGTTTAAAAAAAAAAAAGCAAATTTGGTTCCAATCCTTACTACATCTTTAATATTCTGATTTTTAATAATAACTGCCAGAATAAGGGATAGTCTATGCTTTCATGGTTGGCTTCTGCACCTAAATGCGAATGAGACCATGGTTTTATTTTACAAAGCACGAGCTCTTAAATAGCATTATAACATTTATCTAAAGAAAATATTGTATAAAGTTTGCATCTTAGCATGCAAATCATAATTTTAAGCAATATAAATTATGAAAACATCATATTAAAGGTAATAATTTTTTTAACTTACAAATTTTGAACTTGTGGTTAAACAGAGAGAGCTCCCCAGAGATGGAGGACTCCTGGCCTCCCTCGGAGTTGCAAAGTGCAGACACAGCTCACCTGCCCTCTGCACAGCCACACTGGGCACTAATGAAACCGTCCATAAGAACTACTGAGTTCAGTGTTGGCGTCACAGCTGGATTCACAGTGGGCCACCCAGGTCGTCCTCACCGTGGGCTGGCGCAACATGTGACTCCAAGGGCCTTCTCCCTAAGCAGGGTGACCAAAGCTGCATCCACTTAACAAACCTCTTCCTAGGGGGCCTCCTGGAGGCCAAGTTCCTCTGCAGGTGGCACTTGTTCCAGCCCACCACTGTCAAGCACTCAGCTTCAGGCCTTCTAGGACCAAATTCTGGTCAGGTCTCTCTGCACACTGCCCCAGGCCAGGGGTTGTGGCTTGACCCTGCTCCGAAGGATCTGGGTCTGGTCAGTGAAGACTAGAGCGGGGCAGGAGGCGGCTTATAGTGGCTACTTTGATCTCAGCATATATAAATCATTGTTCTGTAAGTCAGAAGTTGGTCAAGGTCAGGTGGAGGTGAACCAGTGCATGTGAGACTCCCGGCTCCTTCCAGCTGGCAGAACAATTTCTCAGGCTCTCCTGGGAGACGCACAGGCACCCCCCAAGAAGGGCTGCTGCAGCATGACTAGTTAACACCCTCCCAGGACAAGGTCTGGGTTACATCATGAGCAGGTGTCACGTGACACTGTCTTTACGGTGCCCCAGCTTGGAAAGAAAGCAAATTTTTAAAATCTATTAAGTGGCCCACTGCTGCTCCCACCATTTCAGAAGCACAGGGTTAAGGGAGTCCACTGTCTTAGCAGCAGAGAACGAGTGAGGCCCATGGTTTGGAAATGGGGGGTCCACACCCTAGACTTCATAGCTCCCCATCTGGGAGTTTTCTTAAGCTTTGTGACTCTGGGGTAGTAAGGGACCCAGCCCCCAAGATCATTCATTAGTTGCAATGTGCAGCCCCTACAGCCTGGAACCAGGGCAGCTATTCCTTGCCCCGAGTCGGGAAGGTGCCCGAGGTGCGTGCTCTGTAATTGTTGGGGGTCTTGTGTTTAATGTTGAATAAAGAGTCTGAAATACCCGTTCCTGCGCCATCATCAGTGCCAATGAGAAGATGGCCACTCATGGGCTCTGCATGTGTAGTTTCCCTCAAGGAGACTTCCCATGGGCGGCAAGCGCAACGCCAAACACGCAGGACCCGCTGAACAATGGTATGAATCATTTATTTAAAACAGTATTTCTCACCTTTCTCAAATCGAAGACTGCAAAAAATAAAAGCAGTGCTTTCTTGAGTTGTCATTAACCTTGGGAGCAGCCTTCCACATTCTGCCAAGCTGGCACATGCCAATCTATCCCACCTCACTTTACAAAACAGTCCTGAAGCTTAATCAAATAAAACTATTATACACGACATTTACATTAGAAAAGAGCTGGATGTAGGAAAGCCAGGTGTGTTGTTCCCTTAGGTAAAGGTTGCTCCACAGTTGGGACATCTTCGCTTCTTCAAGGCAAAACAGCAGATGAACCCAAAGGGAAACAAGATGATGGCCAGGAAGATGCCCAGGAAGGTGAAGCAGTCCTCCAGGACCCCGACTCTGTGGAGAGAGGGGGCGGGCGGTTAGGACCCCAGCCCTCCCTGCCTGGGCTGCACACAGGGCAGCTGGAACCCGCAGCAGAGCTGCCTGGAAAGGTGGCCCGTCCCCAGGGTCCCCCAGCAGCAGCCTCAGCTGAGGGCACAGAGCAGCTGCTCGAGACAGGGCTGCTGACACCAGCTTCACGGCCACACCCTGGCATCTTTTATACCCCCTAAAGGGCAACTGTCCCTAAAAAGTGATGAAGTCTACCTACAGTGTGCATGGCGGAGGGTACCAAGACACTGGGGACACCGCCCTGGTCCTATGCCAATGAGCACAAGTTCATTGACCTGAGTCTTCCCACAGTCCTGGCAGGTGGGAAACAGGCTTATGCTCAGCACTTGGGTCTCCCTCTAGAAAGTGCTGGACCCAGGGCTGAAGTGATAAGTGTCACTAGCACTCCCCTCCAGGCCTCAGAGGTGCTGCCCCCTATCCCAGGACTGTGGCCCCGAACTCAAGCACTGACCTGGGTCACAAGAAACTACAGAAAGGACAGAAGGACTGGGGTTGGAGAGGGGGGGAGCAGGGACCTGCTGGCAAGGGTTGCTTTCCTTTGTAAAGCTGAGGGGAAAAATGTCACCATGGCCCTAGAGGATCCCACTCCCTACCCCTATCCTAGCTCCTCTTCTAGCTGCCCACCCTCCACACACACACACACACCCACCCCTGCCCACAGTGGCCTGGAAGCAACCGTAGTTCTCCTGCCCCCTGGCGGAAAGGAGGAAGGGCACAGCTTCAACCAAGGTGTGAAGGTGGCAGAACTGAGGGCTCTCACCAACTCAGGCCACAGCAGCAGCCAAGAGAGGCAGGGACCCAGGGACCAGTACCTGCTTCTCTGGGGCACATGAAAAAACAAACTGGAATATCCCAAAAGTCTGTTTTTTTGCTTAAAAAAGATGTCAAACTCAGTGCCCACCTCCCTCCAATCCACACAAGGGGCATGAACAGTGAGTCCCAAGAGCACTTTCCACCACACCTGGCTCCGGGTGGCTCTGCAGAGAAGGGAAGGTAGGACTCTGGTCTCTCCCCTCCAGGGGGTTCCAGCGTCCACTGGCTCACAGGCTGAGTGCCCTGGGTCAAGACTCCTGGGGAGCTGGGCCTAGTGGCACACACCTGTCTGTAATCCCAGAAGCTCAGGAGGCTGAGGCAGGAGGTTTGCAACTTCGAAACCAGTCTCAGCAACTTAGCAAGACCCTAAGAAATTTAGTGAGACCCTGTCTCTAAATACATAAAAATGGCTCAGAATATGTCTCAGTGGTTAAGCGCCCCTGGGTCAATCCCCCCAAAAACAGACTCCTGGGGACCTCTGTTCCAGCTCTGCTTCCCTGACTCCCAAGAGCTGGCCCTTTCTGCATCAAGATGGTGGGCCAGGCTGGAGCACGGACAAGCCCTGCTCTGAGGCCACACAAATCAGGTCTGAGTTGATGATGGCAAAGTTACCACTGGTATGACTCCTCTGTGTAACACAAGGTCATTAGGTCACCACACTTGGGCCTACCCTTGGTCCCCTGCCTCCAGTCCAAGGAGGGTACCCACGCCCAGTGTGCTACACACAGCATGCCCCGACCTAGGGCCCTGGCTAACCAGGGGTTGGGCAGGGCAACCCAGATGAATAGCACCTGAGGCCATGCTGGTGTCCTCAGCCACCAGCTGCCCCCGACACAGATGGATGGGACAGGGCCTGGGGCTTAGGACCTCTACCCTGGCTGAGGGGGGCCAGGTGGCTCCAGACCACTGGGAGCTTCTGGCTGCGCGGCCCTCCCCACCCCGTTCTTCCCACACCTGCAGGTGAAACCCTGGGGACACTGGTTTGCATGTTTCAATTAGAAAATGTCCCATGAAAAAAGCAGAGGGCAGGAGAGAGCCAGGTGAGTCAACTTCCAAAGAAGCCAGTCCCTCTGAAGGGGTCCCAGGGAGCCAGGTCCAGCCCCTCTCCAGGCTGTGAGGAAACCAGGAGCCTGTGGGGACCACCGAGACCTAAAGACAGTGACCAGCTGAGTGCCTGCCGGGCTTGTTCCCATAAGGATCAAAAAGGCAGAGCGAGGAGAGCGCTAGACTCTGCTCACGGGCTGCGGAGGAGCTGCACCCAGGAGGGCAGCAGGTGGCACAGGGCATCCTGGCTGCAGGCGTGAGGGGCTGGGGTGGGCTCCTAGTATTGGCCTGCGTCTCATCCCCACAGACCATCCCAACTGCAGCCTGCTGCTGTCCTCGAGGTTCAGCACTCAAGGGCACAGCCCCACCCAACATCCTGATTCTCTCTCCAGACTCCAAAGCCTTGGCCACATTACAGAAGCTGGAGGGAGCCCAGGAAAGGTGGTCACTCCCGGGCTCTCCCTGCCACCAACTCACAGTACCACCTGATGCTACGATTCCCACCAGTGGCCAGGCGAGCTTTCTGGGCCCAGCTCAACACCCAGCACCTCATTTTCTCAGTCCCTGGAGGGGCACTTAGAACTTACAAAGTAACAGAATTCCCACACTCCCGCTGCCCAGGCCTGCCTGTTCCATCTACCTTCATCCCATTGCCAGAGAGGGCCAAGGCTACCTGCGCTCTGGGAAGAGTGAGGATGCACCCCTCAGGCCCACCCATGTGGGATTATCACCCACAAGACTCAGGTATCTACCAGCAAAGAGTCTGTAACCCAGGACCCAAGAATGCTCGTCCCCTGACAACCTGCACCCATGGTCTGACCTGGCTTCAATGGGCCCAAGGGATGGAGAGGACACCAGCCCACAGCCTGCTTCAGAAAGCTGCTGCCCT